AAAAATCCTGAAGGGCCACAGTTAATCACCTGGATATTGGACAGGGTGACACAGGGCTTCTGATGAAGGGCACATGTTCTCTGCTCAGGGGCACTGCTACTGACTGTCCCCAGCAGACTGTGTTATGGATTGATGAGGCTCTCCTGCAATGTTTGAAAAAAAAATTTAGGAATCTGAATTTTTGTTATTATTGTAAAGATGCTGGTGATCATACCTAAGTCCTTAGATATGCAATGCAAGTGTTCTACCACAAACCCTCTCCCGGTCAGGGTCTGGATGTTTTTGTTAAGTAAAACTGATCATTTTACCTCAAGGGCTGGAACAATAGCACAGTGGTAGGGCGTTCGCCTTACAAGCGGCCAACATGGCCGACCCGAGTTCGATTCCTCCGCCCCTCTCGGAGAGCCCGGCAAGCTACCGAGAGTCTCTCGCCCGCACGGCAGAGCCTGGCAAGCTCCCCGTGACGTATTCGATATGCCAGACACAGTAACAACAAAGTCTCCAATGGAGACGTTACTGGGCCCGCTCGAGCAAATCGACGATCAACGGGAGGGCCTTTACCTTTACCTTACCTTTAATTTTAAAAAATGTTTAATTATAACTAGATGTGGTTAGGGTTGTGTTAACTCACCTTATTGGGGCACCCACTTTGTACATAATATTGAATTGTGACACTGTGGAAGTTGAAGGTATACTGTGTTCTATCACTTATTTCTCAATATATCTGAAGAAAATAAGGTACGAGATACGCTTTCACCACCTTTGGGGAAGTTTTATTCTTTTCATAAACAGGTGAAATGAAATTAAGTCACTGTGGTCAACTTGGTATGATGCACCACACCCACGATACACTGATTCCACCAGGAATGTGCAGGCATCTGGCTAATGTCCCTTAACAAACAGGACCAGTCACCCTAAAAGGCTGCCCTCTACTTCGGAGGAATCCTTAGGCACAATCCAGAAAATTTTTGAATGCAAGGGTCATTCTCTTCAGGATCACCAGGACAAGGAACTGGTGAATCCAAGTTGGAGTCCTTATGGCCTCTGTAGTGCACTGAATTATTTCTGAGAGCCCATGGAACTGAACTCCCGCTGTCTGCAGTGTTCATTGTATCAGCAGAGCCTTTGCTGGGATTACTTTTTCCACCTCATTGTTTCCTGAAATTACCTCTAGGATTAGCTGCTTCAAGAAACCCACTTGTAGGATGAAGAGATAGTACAGAAGGTGCTTGCCTTGCACATAGCTGGACTGGGACCAATCCCCAGCACCACAAAAGCGCAACCAGCAGTGATCCCCAAGTGTAGAGCCAGGAACAAGCCCTGAGCAAAGCCAAGTACCATCACCGCTCCCCCCGCCCTTTTCCTCCCCAAAGAGCAACCCGCTTGCACCGATGCTCTTACCTCCAAATTTTCATTGTACCCTCTGTCTCCAAACGCTGTCCGCCTAAATGGAGATCTCCCACTTGCTCTTTCTTTGAGCAGTGGGTAGCTACAGCCATTTCCCAAGAGCAAATGAACATACCTGGGAACTGTAACAGAAGTGAAGGATGTGCAGTACCCTGCTGTATTCTACAATGTCGGACTTAACTCAGATTTAAGTAAAACTGTTAGTATTTGTAGGGCGTCGGGGAAGGACCTGCACGAGCCTGCGAGCCCGGGAACCCCGGGGGTGGGGAGGGGGGAAGGGGCGTGTTCCCGGGCGGACCTGTGGGCCCTGACTGCGTTAGCCTGTCCTGCCAGGAACCTGCCCCACCCCCATCCCGCTGCTCCTGAGCCCCCCTTAGCCCTGCTGCTGGGGGTGGGCGGGAAGGTGCAGGGCTGGGGAGGCCCCAGCCTTTCTGATGCTCCTGCTACTGTGAGAGCGGGCGTGGGCCCGGCCCGGAGGGAGGAAGAGCGTAGCACAGCAGTAAGGCGTTTGCCTTGTGCGCGCCAGCCCAGCTGACCCGGGTTCGATTCCTCGCCCCTCTCTCGGAGAGCCTGGCAAGCTACCGAGAGTATCTCGCCCCATGGTAAAGCCTGGCATGCTCCCCCTGACGTATTCAGTATGCCAAACACAGTGATAAGTGTCACAATGGAGACGTTACTGGGTCGCTCGAGCAAATGGATCAACAGGAGGACAGTATTTGTAGGAGCTCAGGGATGTGACTAAGCAGCTTAGTACTTACCTGGCAGAAGGCCCTGGGACCGACATACATCCAGCACCACGCCCCCGGGGGGGGGGGGGGGGCAGAGAGGGAGAGAGGGAGAGAACAAATTCCAACCAAACTGATAGCTCATAGGGTTGGAGCACGTGCTTTGCAGTTGGGAGGCCCAGGTTTGATCCTGTCACTGCATGGTCCCTGGACACTGCCAGAAGCGCCCCTCCGAGGGAATATTGGTAGAAGGAGCATCAGAAAGGTATGCTGCAATAGGAATGCTCACTTAACCATATTCTCATTCCTATTTTATAGATGAGGAAACTAAAGCTCAAACTGGACTTAGACCAGACTTGAGCCCACAGGACACCCTGACCAGTTCCTGGTTACCTTATGCCTTGATGCTTTGTGCCCAGAGAATGATGACTGGGGGTGGAAATAAAAGGTTAGTAATTTCCCAAGAATGGTATCCAGTTTGTAGTAAAACTATTCCTAGAGGAGAGGGGCAGGGGGAAAAGGAAAATTAGCTTTAACTTAAAAATCAGGAGTTGCCATTTTCAAGATCGTCAGGGACAAAATAAAAAAGCATAAAATTCAACTCACAAGACTTTTTGGCACATTGTTTAAAATTTCACTACTGCATTATTTTTTGTCTTTCCCTTTTCTCATGCTCACATTTCCCTTTGTCTCTAGAACACATAAAGCATGTTTCCAGTTGTTTATACCTTCTTGGCCACTTATTCTATGTCTTTCACTTCTGAGTCTTGCTTTACCACTTTAAGATGAAAAACTGGGTTTATTAGTGCCACCAAGTCAATAGTAGAGTAGAAAAAGGTATCTTTAGGCCAAGATCTAAATATATTTCAGTCCATCATCACTTGATGTAATATGGAAATGGGGGTGAAAGACCTAACAGATAACTTGAAGGGACAGGAATTCAGCATCTCATGTCAACATGAACATCACAGACACAATAATTTATTATGCACTATAGCACTGTCCTCCCATTGTTCATCAATTTGCTTGATCAGGCCCAGTAACGTCTCCATCGTGAGACTTGTTGTTACTGTGTTTGGCATATCGAGTACGTCATGGGTAGCTTGCCAGGCCTTGCCGTGCGGGCGAGATCCTCTCGGTAGCTTGCTGGGCTCTCCAAGAGGGGCAGAAGAATTGAACCTGGCTCGGCCAGGCCAGCAGCTTGCAAGGCAAATGCCTTACCGCTGTGCACATATTTACCAATTCCTAAAGAGACTGTTAAAAAAAAAATTGGTCTCAGGTCAATTACTGATTACAACTGCATTTCCAGTTAAAAAAAATTTAATGGTTTATATTTTAAAGAAAGCAAGGACCCAAATTTATGTATAATTTTACATAAACACAAAGTTCCATAGCTGTTTCAATTTTAGGAGCACAATGTGAGCACAAACTCAAAAGGATTTTTAAGCACACAATTACATTTTACTTTTTGTTAAAGTACTTTAAACCCAGTTTTCTTCAAATGCCACTTACAATAGAATGACTAACCCCATTATGTTAGAGAGATTAGAAAGCCAATGCTGGAAGATAAAACTAAGACTTGACTACAGAGTATATGGCAACGTAAACACTTTCATTAAGTGACAACTAATCCCTAGCTGCATTTCAATTTGCCAAATGAGCAATCAAATTCAACTCATTTTATTAGCTAATGGTTAAGATAGAATTTTGATTAGTCAGATTAGTCTATAGTCGCTCAAGATTTATTTAGCACTCATATTAAAAAAAACCAAGGACTTCAGAGTTTGCACTCAACACGGTGCAGTTAGATTCCTAAAGTCTACGATCATGAGAAAATTCTGATCAAAATTCTACGCTTTCTCCCACTAAACATAGATTCCAATTGCTAGGGGCTCACTAAAATGCAACAGACAACCCCCCACCGCATACAATCATGTATAAAAGAACGCCCCAAATATTATAGTCTCTTCCTAAATGAATACTGTGGAAGGGACCAGTGTACAGCTTTCTGTGGCCCATACTGGAAACTTTCACTTCAATTTACTCATTTAAGCAAAGTTTCTAGAAAGTGCTTTTTTTTTTTAATAGATATGAAACTAGGGTTGCAGAGATTATTTAACCTGGTGACAAATACTCAAACCTAAAGTGGATAGAAAAATTACGTTTAACTATGAAGAAAGACCATAGTGATGAATTTTAATAATTTTTTAAAAGAAAGTTTACCGGGTTGAAGAGATAATTCAACAAGTTGATGGCATGCTTTACTTGTGGGAAGCTTGTGTTCCATACCACCAGGTCCAGGACCACCAGGTATGGCCACCCACCACCAAATAGTTCTTCCTGAATATGTCTGTGATGAGTATGACTTTCCTTTGCATAATCTCTTTGGTTTGCAGGTTAAATAAAAATATGAAACAAATATGAACAGTACACAAATCAGAAGTGTACAGGTCACACGTTTTCAAGAACAAACTATCCAGGTAAACAGCAGTCTGACTAAAAAAAAAAAAAAGACAGGGGCTGGAGCGACAGCACAGTGGGTAGGGCATTTGACTTGCACACGGCCAAAGCAGGTTTGATTCCCAGAATCCCATATGGTCCCGAGCACCGCCAGGAGTAATTCCTGAGTGCAGAGCCAGGAGTAACCCCCTGTGCATCACCGAGTGTTACCCAAAAAGCAAGAAAACAAACAAAAAGCAATAGTACGCAACTTTGTATGTCCTCCTTTTGAGTTTTTTGAGTTTACTTTCTGGAGTAATCAACCATTCACAATCCAGGTTAGATGTCTATCAGAAGGAACAAGACAAAAACATTCATTTCCTGACTGAAAGACCAGAAAGAGAAACATGAAATTTAAGGGTCCAGAGATACATTTTAAAAAATTATCTTTATTTAGGTTTCTGATTCAGCACATGTATCAAAGACTAATCAACATAAAGTAAATAAGACATTAATTGGAAATCTTACATCTCTCTAAACTCTGACCAAGAATGTCAAGATTGCCACTATTACCAGAACTCCAACCTAGTCAAGCTGTAGACAGACTACCATGAACAAACACACAGTGTGCAGTATGCAGGGGCAAGACATGCTAGCATGTGGCTCTCCTCTTCTTCTGTTGATGTCTTTCCATCTGACAGTCCACTTTTGCTTTCCGTCCGAATGTCCAAGCAGAGTTCAAAGGCCGCTCAGGGTCAACCTGATCAAATCCTCTTCTGGAGGAATGCATTCTTAAAGTGTTGTACCTGCAACTTTGTTTTTGCCAGGATGAAGTTCAGATCGAGATGTACAGCACAATCTAGATGACAGTGCAGACTAAGAACTAAAGTTGAGCAGTAACCAGAGTTAAGGCATGAATGCACACACGCACACGTGCACACACACAGCACCCACGGCTCTTAAGAACATAGGATTCTTCCAATTGCCTACCAGGGAAGAGGCAACCAGGGCTTAGCAGTTAACCGTAACGGCAAGAGCATTCTGGACGATGCTCCCCATAATTTTAAGCTAACAGCTGTGTGTGTATAATTAAAAAAAAAAAAATTTAAACAAAGAACAAGAAAAAAAAATACACTTCAAAACCTAAAAAACCCTTAATCTCTTATAATGGCTCTTGAGCATGGAACTCATGTAGCAGCGTCAATTGCTGGCTCTTTCAATAATTTGGAAATAAAAGGTTGTTTTACTATGTATTTCTTTGGTAGTCTTCACTACTAAGTTTTCAGTGTTGGTTACCTAAAAGACAAGTACTAGACAGAAGTTCAAGTTACAGAGAAATAATTCTTCTGTATTGATAAGAAAAATATTGAGCTCTCAAAGTACAAATTACTATGCTTTTTCCTTACTGGGCATCCTCTATAAGCAAGGCTTCGCACAAGCAAATTTCGTGTCTACCTAACAAAGAGCGATATACATATTCTATTTTCCTAGGAGTGAACAGTTAACAAAAACATTATCCATTATTTCTGGTTGAATCAGTTGAAGTCAATTACAAAGGGACAGCAGCACTTGGTGACAAAGTCACATTCTGGTCACACATTCATACCATGGTTGCTGGTCAGCATAGGAGGAGCTCAGAATTCAAAATTCCTTTCCATCGATGGAGGTGCAGATTACATTCAATCCTTAAAAAGATTGAATGTAATCTGCCAAATGTTGAGAATTCTGTCTAGAATGCCAGCATGCTTAATGAGAAAAAGCAGTTCAGAGCCCAGAGAGGTGTCAGGTATTAGGTAAGTCAATTTGGTTTTCTATGAAAGGCATGGTGATCTGGCAACAGAATACGTATCCTATTAGCAGCATGGTGGTAGCCAAGGGTCTCTGTCAGCAAGACAGGAAAGAGAGCTATTGTTGCTCCCACCTGCCTCTGGGATGGCTACTGATTTTACAAAGGCCTTCTGGGAAGTCAGTCCATGGTTATCTTGGGCAAATGGGCAACAGGAATGAAAGTCACCATGTTCAGCCCTCATGAAAAGGGAGCCAACTTCCCCCAGGTAGAGAAGTTCTGGCCTCTATGAATTTGGAGTCTGAATCTTATGGGTTCCTAGTGGCTAAACAAAAGCCCTCATAAATACTGCCCAAGAGTGACAGGTTCCACATGGGGTCAGAAACACTTGAAAAGGACACAAAACAGTTTAAGTAGTGTTCGGTCTATCAATCATGAATATTCTGGAAGAGGAAGTTAGATACATGTCGCAAAGTGCTGTTTGAAGAAACGGGTTTATTTTGAAATGAAATGCCTAGTCTTGGGGAACCAGTGCTACGTTTCTGTACAACTCTGAATGTCAAGAACCTGTCTCGAAAAGGCATTTATCTGGAACTGTTTGCTCATTCCAAGTGCTGTCTCATATGGCAATGTTTTGAATTTTGTGCTTTCAGGAGGTAACTAAATTGACAGGAAGCAGAGGGAAGATTATATTATGAACTTTCTCATTTGCAAACAAGACACTATCCAAAGCATTGAATTCTATAATATTTTTTAAAAAAAAAAGACTTTTGTAAACATATACCATATTTCTCCTATAAAAAAAACCGAGAACTGTACCATGAAGGCAAACTGTTTGCCTACTACTCTTATATTTCCTCGGAATGGCAATGTACCAGGAGGAAGAGGAGCTGTGAGCAAAATCCCCAGGTTTGATATGATCCCACCTGATCAGATTAAAAACCTAAAGCCTCAATAATTAAATGCCAAACTTCTTCCCCATATACTTGAGAACTCTACTATGATTATGCATATTATACAGACATTATAAATAAAATTATATAGACGTACAATTCCTTCCAAACATTTGAGGAGTGATGTTCTCAGTTTGGGGGTAGAAGCAGTAAGAGGTGAAAAATCCTATTGGTGCTTTTACTCAAGTTCTTAAAATGCTAGTCAAACACTATTATCCAATAAGACTTTTTTTTTTCTTTCTGTAACTCTTAAATATGCATTTGAAGGCAAAAATGGAGGTTTTGATACTGTACAATATTAAATATCTACAATGTAATGGTGCCTTATTTTTAGGAGTGTTCATTAAAAGCTAGCTATTAGAGATGGTTTGTCACAAAACATGGACTTAAAAATTACTGATAAATTAATTTTCAGTTCTCTGATTATATCCAACAGATACACATTCTCATCATAAAATATACATTCTCTAGTAAGTTATTTTTGTCCACAGCATATATAAATATGCAAACACAGGTGGTAAAAATCACTTTACTACCAAAGTACAAAACAGTAACTGCTGAAAAGCAAAAATGAAGAAACTGCAAGTACTAAGAGTGACTCAATGTTCCACTTCAAAGTGAAACCAAATGATTTATTTGTGCTAAAGGAATGAAATCATGTATTCAGAATATACTTCTTTGTACACTGCACTTGCTTTGCCTGTAGTACGCTGTGACCAATGCTAATGTGCTATTTCCTCTACACCTCTTTTCTGTCAAGCAATAAAGTATCTTATGGCTATCATGCCAAGATATTCCTATATTGTTCATTTCAAATAGTACTTTCTAATAGTATTTTGCACTTTTAAAATATTTGTTCAAACTCTATTTCAGGGACCACAAAGAATGGAAAGGGGAAACAGCTGTGTTTTGTTACAATCCCAATGCTTTCTGCTGCAGAAAACAAACAGCACATTCTAATCAGCCTTCACAATCGCTGGTGGGTGGGAAAACATTGATCAACTGGTGTCAGAGGGGGCCAGTTTGGGCAGATTAACATTACAGATAAAGAATCACACTTTCATATACAATAATTATTCATCCCATGTATGTGGCAAAGATATAGCCATGTGATCTGTTACTTCAGGCTATTTTACAAGAGACATGGATGTTGATATACTGAAAATAACCTATAAAAAGTGTATCTGTAGAAAGCTCTATTAAACAGTATATTGTCTTGGGCACTGATCCATCTAACTTTCCGTTAGACACTGGAAGTTAGATTTTCAAAGGTTTGAATTGTAGTGCTGAATTACTGGTATATTTGTAGACACCATAGAGGTGGGTGGGTGACTAATAACCGCTCAGTAATTTTCTGCAAATTCATGAAAAAAATATACAAAAGATTTCCCTTTTTATTTTACAAACCTAAAAGCCAGGAAAATGAAGCTCTGGGCCCAAGCAAAAATTGCACACTGCTGCTGAATTACAAATATTGAATAGCAAATGTTCCAGCCAGGGAATGGAGGATGAACATGTAGATTCAAGTAAAACACTGATGGGAAAAGTCGTCTGTTTAGTGTTGTAGACCCACAACACTGGCTGCGTTTCCGACAAACACTTACAACACAATTAAGAGTGAAGCCTAGATAACCTCAGTGCAAATAAGTCAGATCCAAATATGCCAGGGAAGGAAGCCTTTGGCGTTGAGTAGATGGCTCCACTGTACGAGTCCCCACGTGAGATTCAGACTAAGCACATGCATTAAGGCTGGGAGGGGTGCACCGGATGCTGCGACGGGGTGGGCTGCGAGGTGGCTGCTGAGGGGACTGCGGGCTGCATGGGAGGCGGCGGCGGCGGCGGAGGGGGCTGGACTGGGGTCTGTGTGTTGGGAGATGGAGGTGGCGTGGGCCGTTTGAACTTGTCAGGACTGTTGCTTCTCCGTGGTGAAGGCCTCTGTGGAGAGGGGAGAGGCAGAGATCAGTGGAGGGACAGGGAGTTCATTTCCAACTTTTCTGACAGAGCCTGACACAAGGGCTGAGGCTGGGGACAAGCGGAGTCGCAAAGGCAAGAAGCCGGTGACTACCTTGTGCCCACCTGTTTTCTGATCTACCAATAAAATCGGAAGCCAAGGGAATGTCAACCTGTGCACCGATGGCAAGACCATGTAAAGTCACTAAGAGATGTGCACTGCCCCAACTAGTGAACTGAGCCCCTTCCATCCCAAAAGTCAAGAGAGAAAACTGCTGTCACCGTTCTCCCGCTAAAATCTTTTCTCTCATTTGTATGTCCCCACTTCCTTCTGCAATTCAACAGTTGTAGTTTTCAATGTCCTGAAAGCTACAGCTAAGCCAAACTGTATTTGCTTTTACGTACAGTTCATAAAAACAGGGGAAGTACAGTGGAGAGACAGTGCAGCAGGCAGGGCACTTGTTTTGCACGTGTCTGACCCGGGTTGGACCCCCCGCACCACGTATGGTCTCCACTGGTGTGGCCCCAAATCCAAACAACAACAAACCTAAAAACTAGCAAAACAAACAAAATCAGAAATACCTACTGATGTGTCTGTAGAATACAGTTCTTTAAAAGAATACTTTTTGGGGGGAATACCCTCAATTCTCTCCAACTCTCAAATCCCTACTAGCTACTCAGTGCATTTAAAGAAAAGATTCCCCTCTTAGACTCAGATGAAGTTAAATTTCCTTTTAATTTCAGTAAGTCCAAGAAGAACTCAAACAGGGCTAATTTCAGGAAGAATATTGAAGGTCAGTGAACTGGGAAGGTGCAGCTAATACATACCATAGACATTAGGCAACAAACAATCATTTGTTATGGCAAGGAGCTGGTGAGAGGTCAATCCACTGGTTAGGGCTTGAGTTACAAAGGGCAATTTTTTAATTCTACAAAGGGCAATTTTTCATAAGCAATCAGGGTTCTTGCCTCCTGGAAAGGATTCTCGTTTGAATCCCCACAGTTCAAAACCACAGAATTGGGAAGCCGCCAGAGCTTTAAGGTTAAAGAAGGCTTGGCGTCTCGGGGCATTGTTCCCAGGGGTCCCAGGAGGAGTGTTACTTGCTCCTAACACTGTATGTGAAGAGCTGCTTCCCATTTCTTGTACTTACTGTGATTCCATGGGATGCTCCCATATGCTGCACATGGAGACCTGGGGAGTTGTAGTAAGACATTCCGGCTCTCGTCAGCGAAGCTGGTGGCGTGAAACCAACAGTGTGACTTGCATACGATAGACCTGAAATACAAAAACAATGGCGTGATATCAATCTCAGTTATCTGGGACGTCAAGTGCACAGGAGGCTCTCAATTCAGAAATGCTTAGTCACCTTCAAAAGCTGAAACAGATAAGGATGGTAAACTCACCAAAAGGTCTACTAGGTAATAAAGGTGGGGGAGGGGGGAAAGTCCAGCCCTGGAATAGAAGGAGAATGTGTTGATATAATGAGCTTCTACAGAGCGCACGGATGACAGAGCTGGGAAAGGGAGATCTCTTTCAATATGGCACTGGGAAAAATGCATATTCACAGGACAAAGAAAGAAACTGGACTCTTATCTGACATCACACACAGAAATCAACACGTGTTAAAGACAAATATGATCCCTGAAACTGCAGTTCCTAGAAGAAAACAAGGAGAAAAGTCTCCCGGCATGTCTGGGCAGATGGCGCAAAGGAATGAAGTGGATGCCTTGTACTTGGAGGCACAAGTTTGATCCCTAACCCTGCCTGGCTTCCTTCGGCACTACCAGGTGTAGCCTGGAGCTCCAGCCCCCAGGGTGGCTCTCAGTGGTGCAGCATCAGCAGCCCTGAGAACTGAACTCGGTCAGGCCCTAGTATGGGCATAAGGTCAGCAGTAGGAGCCTTTGGGAGCGAAGGTACACAGTGTCAGAGGTCCCCCCAAATTCTGAGAAAGCTTTGGCCTTTGATTGCTCAGACATCATATCAAGAGGCAGAGGCCACAAGAGATAGGTAGCTAAGTGGGGTGATATCACAGTGAAAAGCTCTGTTCAGGAAAGGACACAAACAACAGAATCAAAGGTAGAAAACTGAATGGAGGGGAGCGGGGGAGAGAAGGCAACTGGAAGAGAGACGGGATCACTAAGACAATGGTGTTTGGAGGACTCATTCGGGATGAGAGATGTGTGCTGAAAGATAAAAGGACCAAGCGTGATAACCTCTCAGTATCTGTACTGCAGATCACAATGCCCAAAAGTAGAATATGGGAGAAACTGTCTGCCATCGAGGCAGGGGGAGAGCTGGAAAGGGGGGGGCATGTATACTGGGTACATGTTGGAGAATGTGCACTGGTGGAGGGATGGGTGTCTTTTTTATTGTATGACTGAAACTCAAACATGAAAGCTTTGTAACTGTATCTCACGGTGATTCAATTAAAAAAAAAAAAAAAAGAAAACTGAATGGGGGAGAAATAGTTTCAAGCTCTGTCTCCAAGAAGGGTGTAGAACCCAAACTATGGAAAGAATTCAGGGCTGGAACAATAATACAGTGGGTAGGGCACTTGCCTTGCATGCAGCCAACCCTGGTTGATCCCTGGCACTCCATATGGTCCCCCACGCCCAATGTGTGATAACTGAGCACAGAGCCAGGACTAAGCCCTGAGCCCTGCAGGGTGTGGTCCCTGAACAAAAACAAAGAAATCCCAAAATATATAAGGGACCCCTCTAATTCAGTAGCAAATAAAATAGTTCAGCTGAAAAATGAAAAAAATTGGAAAGGCATTTCTCTAAAACCAACATATGGATAATTAATATTCAACAAACAACAGCTGTGCCCATGAGAATGCCCCTGTGCCGTGTTATGGGTAGGACCTGGTGCACTCAACATGGGGAACAGTTTGGTGTTTCCACAAAACAATTTGATATAGAACTACCAGGCTAAGAAATACTATAGTGCTTATGGCCAGTGCTGGGCAAGAGCCCAGTGAGGTTCAATTCCTGGCACTACATGGTCTCCCAGGCATCGCCAGGTGCAGCCCTGGAGACACTAGAACCACGGAGGTGACAGAGGTATCCAACACTGCAGGGTCCACCCAATATCACTTACATGAAACAGATGGCCTGGCTGGCCGAGAATGGTCCCTGGCCTGTGGGGAGGAACCTCCTGCCCCTTCCCAAACAAACACAAAACAGAACTACTGGGTGTGGCAAGGATCCCACCACTGGGGATTTATTCAAAAGAAACGAAATCAGGATGTGGAAACTTATACCCCCAGCTCACTGCAACATAATCCACAATAGCTGTGATGTAGAAATAGCCTAAACATTCGCTGGCAGATGAGCAGAATGAGAAAAGATGGCACAGGCAGGCCAGATGAAAGATTGTCCAGCCTTTAAAAAATATTGAATTTTTTTTTTCTTTTTTTTTGGTTTTTGGGTCATGCCCGGCTATGCACCGGGATTACTCCTGGCGCATGCACTCAGGAACTGCTCCTGGTGGTGCTCAGGGGACCATATGGGATGCTGGGAATTGAACCCAGGTTGGCTGCGTGCAAGGCAAACACCCTACCCGCTGTGCTATCGCTCCAGCCCCCTATACTGTCAAATTTGACAATGGGGATGAAACGGGGAGATTGTGTTACTAATGTAAGACTGTCACGAAAGGACAACACTGAATGTTGCCTTTTGAGTTCTACGAAGTCAAACTGAGAGCTGCAGTATAGACTGGTGGTCACCATAGCTTGGCAGCAAGAGGAAATAGGGCATTATTGTTCAGTCAGCAGAACAGTTCAGTGACATTCCACAAATAAGCTCTAGGGAACTGCTATAGGGCACTTTATTTACAGTTAATATTGTTACTACTAAACAGTTAAATTTTATTAGGGGCAAGATTATATGTTAAATATTTTTATCCCAATGTAAAAGGTAAAGGTAAAGGCCCTCCCGTTGATCGTCGATTTGCTCGAGCGGGCCCAGTAACGTCTCCATTGGAGACTTTGTTGTTACTGTGTCTGGCATATCGAATACTCTCAGTAGCTTGCCGGGCTCTCCGAGAGGGGCGGAGGAATCGAACTTGGGTCGGCCATGTTGGCCGCTTGTAAGGCAAACACCCTACCCCCTGTGCTATCGCTCCAGCCCAATGATGATTTAAAAAAACAAAACAAACACTGTCCTCCCGTTGTTCATTGATTTGCTTGAGCGGGCCCAGTAATGTCTCCATCATAAGACTTGTTGTTACGGTGTTTGGCATATTGAATACGTCACGGGGAGCTCGCCAGGCTTTGCCGTGCGGGTGAAATACTCTCGGTAGCTTGCTGGGCTCTCTGAGAGGGGCGGAGGAATCGAACCTGGCTCGGCCGGGCTGGCTGTGCACAAGGCAAACGCCCTACCACTGTGCTATCGCTCCAGCCAATTATTTAAAAAGAGATTAAAAAAATGAAAAAGCCAAGTCCTGCCAGAGTTCAACTGAAATATGGGAAGTAGCCATGATGAATTCGATAAGCCAAACACAGTAACAACAAGTTTCATGACGGAGACGTTACTGGGACCGTTCGAGCAAATCGATGAACAACAGGAGGACAGTGCTACAGTGCAGTAGGAAAACACGAGAAAAAAATAAAAAGAATTAAATTTTTGAAACATGCAAAAGAGAAAGAGTAAAAATGAGACATGAGGGGATAGAGTGAAAGGGTAACCAACTCGTGTGTGTGCCCAAGCATGTGTGCCCAACAAGACATGTGTGCTCAAGCAAACCAAATCACCACAGAGAACTCTAATTTTAGATTATTTAGTGATGAAAACAAAGTCCAGTATGTACCAATGTTCAAAGAAATAAACGGAATTATTTAAGAAAGAAGTCTCAGCCCACTTCAGCCTTGAGGGCCCAAGAGTCATCTTCACAGAGGTTTAATACCTAGTCTCCTTACTATTAAACTAGGTAGCTTTGAGTTAAGAGTCCAAAGCAGTCATGGTGATTACCAGAACCAGGCAGAGAAAGCACCCCAGAGCCACAGCACTCATCACTGACGAGCCACTGAAGCAGCCTGGGCTGCACTTAGTCATTAGTGGCTCTCCTGGGACATCACTGTTCACTGAATAAAAGAACCCAGTTTTGCATCTCTGACTCCCCAGCATCTGGACCAGCGGATCCAGCACAGGGTAAATTCTATGAAAGAATGGTGTGAATGGAATCAAAGAGCAATAAAGAAGTCTGGATATGAGCCCATTATCGCCCATCACTCCATGCTGAAGATCAGCTGTTAGATGCTAAGTAACATGAACTCCTTTGATCACTTTTCCACACGCAAACAAGCCTTCAGGAGCTAAACAGTCATTGAACGTGATGCTTATTTTAATCACAAGGGCTTCATTCATTCAGATGGGGAAGGGAAGAAGATTTTCTTTAAACAGCTTTGGAGAATATAACCCTAATTCTTTTTTCTTATGAAAGTGATGAAATTTAAGCAAAAGGTTATGAAAGTAGATGCTTATCTCTTGGTAGAGCTCAGAATCCAATTTGTTTTAAACAACGGAACAACTAACCTATTTTCTCAAATTACTTGGGCAATTTTTCTCAAGGTTAATTATGAAATCACTAATCTGCTTAAGTGCTAAATTGCTAATCAAGAATCTCCAAAGACTCCCCATTGCCAGCCTTAAAAACAAAGGCAATAAAAAGCCTTTCTGGCTCTTATGCAGCAGGGCTTCTTTCTGTATTTGGCTCTAAATTATCTCCTGATATACTGGGTCAGTAGTTCTAACACCAAGTATCAAAGCTCTGGTCCTTCCTCAAACCAAGAAGAATCCCAGCAGAGTCCCAGGGCAGCTGGCATTAGGTAAGAGGTCTCTTCACTCCTTCCCATCTCCACGTGTCCTACTGTGCCTCTGCTGTCCCCCATCAATCAAAACCTCATGCTGCCTTTCCCAAATCAAACAGGCCAGGTTCTAGAGCCAACTGCCACAGTCGTGCCTCGTGCCTCTTGGTACTGAATAACAATGGACTCTACAACCTCCACTGTAAAATGGGTTAACAGTAGAGATATAATATAATGGGGAGGATGAAAGAATCACTGACACAAAGTGCTCAGAGAGTACCTGGCACAAAGACAAGGATCACTGTACATCCCCTCCCCCCCACACACACACATACCACTTCGTGGCCCTTATCTGAAAAGCTACAGTGGAAGTTCTCCCTGGCCCCTGAAATCCCCCACTTTTTCGGGTGTGTTTTGGGCCACTCCTGCAATACTCAGGGCTTACAACTGGTTCAGTGCTCAAGGATCA